AACTGCATAATAAGGAGCTTCATAACTTGTACTCTTCTCCAAGTATAATCAGAACATTCAAGTCAAGGAGGATGAGTTGAGCAAGGCATGTAGCACGAATGGGGACAAAGCGGAATGCATGTAGGATATTGGTGGGAAAGGCAGAAGGAAAGAGAGACCGCTAGGAAGACCTGGACGTAGGTTTGAGGGTAATATAAAATGGAGTTAGAGAGTTAGGATGGGGTAGTATTTGTTGGATTGATCTGGCTCAAGATAGAGAACAATGGAGAGCTGTTGTGAACACGGTGATGAACCTGCAGGTTCCAAAAAATAATGGTAAATTGTTGAGTTGCTGCGGAATTGGCGGTTTCTCAAGAAGGTTCTTCTCCATGGAATTAATTAGTTAAATATTAATTTTGAATATAATATCACTTAATGTCCATACTCCTAATTCTTAGTAATTCTCACAATACTAATCTGAAAAACGTGCGAAATTTTGAAGTGGTACTTGGATGAGAATCACTTTCTTGACATCAGTAGTCATGAGCCAGTGCATCCGTCGTTTCTGTACCATCAGGCCTACGAGTTATTAAATTTTACTCAAAGTAATCGATATTTATTGGGATTTGAAGCTCTTTCGAAACTGCGGAGAGTCTCTTAAATTCGCGCTGTCTGTTCGTCTGTCTGTCTGCACGGATTAGAAACTCGAGACCCGGCGAAACTTCTCATGAACATTTGACACTGGCGCGCCGTAATAATATAATAATAATAATAATAATAATAATAATAATAATAATAATAATAATAATAATAACACGTGACTCTGCACTCATCTCGATATGAACCTCTTGGCGGTTTATCGGACACAGCCTGAATTGTTACGTCATGTGCGTATATGCAAAGTGGCTTTGGCTAGACACTGTCACTCAGACTGCGGCCCTCTGAAATATGTGTTCCTGGTGTTAGGCACTACGGAGGAACCTGCTATGAACATGCTACGGTGCCCTAGCCTGAAGATGGAGGCATAAGCGTGTTGGAGCCGTTGGCACCGTAACGTGTGTCTTTAATTTGGCACTGGTATTCTTTCATTACAGTACAATGTGATACCCCCATCCCCCCACAGCTTTCAAATTTACTTTCCACTGAACATCCTACCACTCCAGGGAGCCGGGGTAGCGCAGTCGGCATAGTGACTGGCTACGGGCTGGACGACCGAGGGATCGGAGTTCGAATTCTGGTAAGATCAAGAATTTTCTCCTCTTAACGTCGTCCAGACCGGCTCTGGGGGCCACCCAGCCTCCTATCCAGTGGGTACCCGGGGCTATTTCCCCGGGGGTAAAGCGGCCCTGCCGTGAAGCTGACCACTCACCTCCAGCTAGTGTCGAGGTCAATAAAATGTGGATCTATACATCCACTCCCCCATGCGCCTTCATAGCGTAGTTATGCACAGGGACAACTTTATTTTCGTAACTTTCTACCATCCCACACTGCATTGGCAGCGTCCTTAGGTTAGCCATAAATCCTTCTAGGAGCCCCTAAATATGTAACGGATAGATGAGCGCTGCGAAGTTACACGATTTCGGGTCGAATTGTCTGGCGTTAACAGGTTTCATGAATGTAAGTTAATACTTTCTTCCGGGGGGCTCGTGTCTGCTGAGGACATTCGTTTGCGAATAGCTATTTGCGTTCCCTGTTCTTGGAAGATGATGTTAAGAGGCGATAGCTTGTCCGACTCCTACCGGGCCGTGATAAACGGTTTATTTACTTATTGGTGTAACATCCGTCAAGGAAAACTTTCTGCCTGATTCTTAACACCTGTTATGCCAGTCGGTAAGTAAGTGGCCACGGGTTTTTACCCCTTAAAACACAACGCAGGCTCGCAATACATATGAAGCTTTTCCTTTGAGTTGTTGTCGCCTTCTGATATTGGCGACCATTGACCGAAATATGTAAATGGCTCTATTTTATTGTGAAGAAAGCAAAAATTGCAAACTCGATGGACTTCAACTTTAATTTTACTTATATATTTGGTACCTTTACCTACCAGACTGTAAGGGGTCATATTCCAGAAGCTTGCAATAATTGTACTCAAGTGTGTGCGAACTTCAGATCAGGGCTGTCTCAGTCCTTACTTTGCTGCACCAAGGCAGGGGTGCAGCTACAGTACGCACATGGACATTTGCACTGTAAAGCGTTATTACAAAAGTAATGTGACCTATGACGTATATATGTTAGGATATTAGCGTCGAAATTTAAGATGGCTTCTGACTAACGAATTGTTAAAGACATAGGTGGTTGCTTAATTTAAGTGACTGCCTTGAAATTTACGTCTACGGACTGAGGAATACCACGACAGCAGGTGTGTGTACAAGAATTTGGAGCCGATATTTTCCGATTTCTTATAAACGTCACCGCTTGAGATAACCTGCTCAGTTAAAGAGATCTCAGAATAATTTATACTGAACGACAGTCATTAGGACATCTGTGTAAGATTTGAGGTTTTCACCGCGGTGACTATGAAGAAAGCAGTCTTCTGGGAGGTGGCACCGTGTATATGTGGTGTTAACCGACGTTTCGGAGGAACGTATCGCCTCCATCTTCAGGGTAGAAGGAAAAATATAAGAAATCCGCAAGCGAAGAGACTGTAGCAGTCTGCTTTTACCGGTTCTCACGGTCTCTTCGCTTGCGGATTTCTTATATTTTTCCTTCTATCCTGAAGATGGAGGCGATACGTTCCTCCGAAACGTCGGTTAACACCACATATATACCGTGCCAAATCACAGAAGACTGCTTTCTTCATTATGGCATCTGTCTGAACTCTTTCAACCAAGTGTCGGGGCACGGAAGAAGCCCCCAATATAAGTCCACGGATGTGATAATGTGCTGCCTGATCAGGGTATCGCATGCCACATGTGTATAGAGCAATGGTAGATTTGTGGTTGGCAGAAGAAACCGAAGACAGTCGGAGAAATTTCACTTGGTTCACAGCGAACACGGTACCGGACTCAGGGCGCCTCGTATAAGCACCTGAACATGGCTATCACAGTCGCCGGCCGCGTGGCGTAAGTCATGAAATGTCTTCGTCCGCTCGAACACTGGGATCGTGAGATCGAATCCTTCTGGAGGCATGGGTGTCTGCCCGAGTTTATTCTGTATCTGTGTTGTCCTGTGTAGGTAGGAGACTCGCGTCGGGCTGATTCCCCGTCCAAAGAGTCCCACTGAGTGTCTAAGTTTTACGAAGCGTTTCACGGATGCCCTATGCTCCAAGCGGGAGCACCAGTAATGGATAGCGCGTTACGCAGAGAGAACTGCACATGACATGTTATGGACATTGGCACGGGAGTCTTCGTTGTTCGGTGGTGCTTAGTAAATTCGCTTATTAATGGAACTCTATGCGCTGTTAATTGTTTTGGCGCATCGGTTAATATAGCGGCATTTCTCCGATCGGGCATTTGGAAGCTGCTCCGTCCATATCTCGTTCGGACCCCCTGCAGTCCTAATTAAGAGCCGAGATAGGATTTCTCACTCTTTTCAGGAGACTTCCGACGCATTAACTCAAACAGGCCACGACCGCTTCCTTCGATATAATTTTAAATTTATCGTTCCACTATCATTCAACCACTCCACCTTATGTCACAGTGAAAAACAACCCACAAGAATTGCTCAGTGTGTGCTACAAAGTTGACGGGAAGCACAGCGCTGCATTACGAGAAGGTTCCCACGTGGTCTAGACCCATTCAAGAATGTGTCATTTTCCTCATATGCCGCCCTTTGCTAACTCTTTCTTATTTTATTATTATTATTATTATTATTATTATTGCTAGTGGGGTGGGACTAAGTCCCTTGTACTGCGGCCACTTCTGGCCTATTGTACCAGCCCCAGACGATACGTGAGGGTGATTGTGGAGCAATTGGTGGAATGAAGATTGGCAGGGGAAACCGAAGTACTCGGAGAAGACCTGCCACTTTGTCCACCACAAATCCCACTTGACCAGACCCGGGATCGAAGCCGGGCCGCCGCAATGGGAAGCCAGCGACTAACGGCTTGAGCTATAGCGCGGCCTTCCATAAGCTAATTACTCATTATAACGGAATGATTGGGGGGGGGCAGTGAGTTTGTTATTGTTGGTGTCCGCTATAACCGAGTGACGGGGTATTCACGTGCTACACCAATGGATGCATAGCCAATACACGCAATAAACATAGAAACACACGATGTGATTATATGAAGGCTTTTATATTGGGGTTATTTTTAATTTGAAATAATTTCCTACCTACAGAGCCTTCTTAATGCCTCAACATCTCTAAAAATTCACAATTATACTCAGCCAGAATTTGTCCGTTATAACGAAGGTTTACTCTATAATGCGGCTATGCTACCGCATCAGTCGATTCAAATTTTTTGCAATCCGTATATAAAAATCCAGTTTTTAATATTATCATCCCCTTGTAGGGCTACATCTCTACATTTCACAGCCACGGTTCTATATGTATTTTACGCTTTTCCACAGTCAGTGCTGAAAGTCCTGCCTAATGAGAGGGTAAATGTTGCGGTAGTCTTGGAGACTCGCTTTCGGGAGACACTCCCTTCGAGTCTCGGCTGAGACACCACTTATCCTGAATTTCTTTTCAAGGTTTGCCTGAGAACCTTTAGGCAAATTCGGTGATAGTAGCTCGAATATGCCATTGCCGATTGCTTTCAAATCATTTCCAGGTGTCATCAACCGCCCTACAGCTTGATGCTCTAGCTAACAGCCCCGAAAAGAACCTCCGAATGAAGCCCTGCCAATCCCGTTTCCCTATGTGTGACCGTTTTAAAACATGGATGATATGTAACACAACACTAAATTTTATATTATATATAACTGAAATTATTGACCAATTACGTATTGTTTGTCCGCAGTGGGACAGCCCGCAACTCTCCTAAGATATTTCTCACTTGGCGGTTATCACGAATGGTAAAAATTGGCCTACTTATTTTTATAGTGATGATTCAGTATGTGCATTGTGATTGTACTTACTAGAAGCATTATCAAGCATCCATACACTCGAGAGTACCCATTCGAATCACCATACGGCCATGTTATTACCAGTTCACTCACTTTCCAATATACGAACAAAGACCTGAATCAACTTGCCCGCTGATTTTAACTTCCCATACATTTTCCCCTTCCATCGCTGTTATCTGCAATCGGATTGGTTCTAGTGCGCAGTTACGTCATGTTGGCCGTGAACATTAGGCCTAATATGTGATGAAACAAAACAGACCACAAGAAGAACAGGGAACTTGGGGTATGTACGTAAGGAATACACAGGTGAAGGCTCGAGCATATCTTGAAACAAGGGCATTCAAGCGACCTTAGCACCAGAATACGCAAGAGGCTCAGACAGTAGGACGCAGTTCTAGAAGATGCCTCACAATTTTAATGCTTCCAGTTCCATGAGCAGGTCCTTCCACCGCGGGCAAATATTTGGGCAGACTGAAGAGAAAGAGACGGAGAATGGGTTGGGCTGGCTGTGGCGTGCATGGATGTCACCCAGGGCCCGCGCAATGATCACTAGTCTCGGAGTTCAGGAAAATATCTCTTCAATTTCGTTAATACGTGCGTTTTGTAAGAAAGATGCGGAAACAGTAGCAGAAGAGCAGGTAAAAGGGGGCAGCGGACGTTTGAGTTTCTGACTGACAGCGAGCCGATCACAAGGGCCGCGCAGTCTAGGGCTTGAACTGTATTCGCCCGTTCAAACACTGGGATCATGTGTTCGAATCCCACTCAAGGCATGGATATCTGTGGTTATTCTGTGTTTTTGTTAGGTAGCGGACTTGCGACGGGCTGATCCCCCGTCCAAGGAGTCCTGTCGACTATGTAAGAGATCAAGAAATTGAAAACCCGGCCAAGGCACAAGAAAGGGCTTTAGAGCCATAGATAGAGAGAGACAGATAAATAGGGAACTGACTAATTAGGATGACCTGATGACCTTTAGAGCAGGAGGTGTTGAATTGATTAGTTTAAATCGCGAGGCCACATCATGTAAGTAATATCTGCAAACTAAGTTGCTATTTCACACCGAGCGCACTGGCCGTGCAGTGCTCTTCACAAGAAGAGGGGCTGCCTGCCATGAGACACAAGCGCTCTGTGAATAAGGCACCGAATTTTTGTATGCAGAAACACGTGGTATACACACTTTGCCCCAAGAGTGATGGTGGGGTTTCCGGGGGCCCCGTTGCTGTGCCTCGTACATTCTTCCACTCAAGAAGACTCGCCAGCGCACGGAGGAAGTGACCATGAGTAGCCTCTACATTTGTACCCCTTGGAATGACAGCAGGGACGACAAAGGCTACGATACAGAGCCTAAGGTCACCTTGGGATTCACAGAAACACGCCTCATCGACTCAAACCTACAGAGTTCCTGATTATTATTATTATTATTATTATTATTATTATTGCAAACTTTTCAGTAGGAAAATCGTAATTTTTTTCTTGTCTGCATCGTAATGTAACGAATGTAGGCCCATTTATATGGCGTATCCTTGAAAGAAACTTTTTGCGCCCCAGCAAAATGGTTAAAGATACGCGTGGTTGCGAGATTATATTGATATGAAAAGCGTAAACTATCCCTGTAAGAGGCCGTGGATGTGCATATGATTGTGAAACGTCAAGGCTCCCACACTTCCTAAGCAATCGGCTCACAGATGCCGTTCAGATTTTTAACTTTACGCGCCGGCCGCTTTGTCCCCAGGAAGATTCCTGGTACTCATTTCTGCTAGTGGCTGAGTGACCCTAAGGCCATAGCATGGCTGAAAGGATTAGGCCAATTGAAAAATCCAGTAACCGCATCGGGAATCGAAACTTTCCGGCTTTTAGCGTAGTGCCTCAACCAACCACATTACCGCGTGCCACGGTTATACAATTGATATTCACAGGGAATGTAACATTTCATTCTGCAGCAGAGTCTCCCACGAAACGTCTCCTTGAGATATTATACAGAATGTTCCACGAAACGTCTCTGAGACTACAGAGAGTTTCTGACTGGGTTAATTTGAGTGCATAATGTTACATGAGCTGGTCACAGTAGCCGAGCGGTCTAAGGCATGTACTGCTTTCGCTCGCTTGGAAACTGGAATCGTGGGTTCGAATCCCACTCAGGGCATGGATGTTTAGTTTGTGTGCGCGCGTTTTTTTGTGTTTGTGTACATGTAGAGGCCTTGCGACGAGCTGATCACCCGCCCAAGGAGTCCTACCGAATGTGTAAGATCTAGAAAAACCGAAATGAACGGAGAAGTTCATGGAGGTAGGCCTAGGCCCACTGGGGCTGTAGTGCCAAGGAAAAAAAAATGTTATGTGAACATGGGTCTGCTTCTCTACTTTTACGCAGCCGTTACTGAAACCCGGGGGCATGCAAACAAACTCAGTCATCCAGTAAACCCATGGTATCTCTTCACTTACATTTCTAACTTTCAGTATATCTCTATTGAGGGGTTATATTTGGTGATCTAACCTAGTGAAGCTCAGTACAGGTCTCAAAAGTACGAATTTGTGCTACGTACTTCTTATACAAAGAACTGTGTCGCCAGTACATGGAATCAGTTATATAAGATTTCTATTTGAATATTTGTATATTCTACTCAATGTCCCGGAAGCTCTCCTTGACTGCTTGCGCACAATCTGTGCGTCTCGCTTTCGCATGACAGCAGAAGCATCCATGATTCGTTGCAATCTGCTATTTCTCTTGACAGTCCGTCTCCTTCACTTTTCCGCAGAAGGGACGTGAGACCCGGTGAACGGGCAGGCCCCAATACCAACCTAACCTAACAGAAGTGTTGGCGGGAATGATGTGGGTGACGTCATGTTCGATCGGCCTGTGAGGGTACGTCTTCCACAGGGACCGACAGCAAGTTGTGCAGGAACTTGTGGTACAAATCCCTCGGAATCCCATAACGGTTGAGCGAAATTTCTGTGTGTTGGACTGGTGCATGAATTTTGTGTTTAATTTGTGACAAATTTTAACAGTCGTCATAAATTATGCATATTTGTGTGCGCACTATATATTTCAATTTGATGGTCATGTACAGTGTATTTTAGCAACAGTTGCTTTAATTAATAATAAAATAGCTGAGTTCAAATTAATTTTACTTTTAAATCGGCACAGAGAGTGGGCTAGATGTTTGATGAACTATCATTCGTGGTTCTATTCCAGGTGTGGGCAAGAAATTATTTTTTCTGCAGCGTCAGGACTGGCTTTCACACAGTGGGTATTGTAGGCCTTTCTCCCGGCGGTAAAGCTCACTTTACCCCCAGTGGGCCTAGGCCTATCTCCATGAACTTCTCCGTTCACTTCGGTTTTTCTAGATCTTACACATTCGGTAGGACTCCTTGGGCGGGTGATCAGCTCGTCGCAAGGCCTCTACCTGTACATAAAGACAGAAAAACGCACATACACAAACTAAACATCCATGCCCTGAGTGGTATTCGAACCCACGATCTCGGTTTCCAAGCGAGCGAAGACAGTACCGTGACCGGCAGCTATTCCTCTACACCTGACATTTACTTTGCTTGATGCTTAATTAAGCGAAGGGAAATATCGCTTTACTATTAATTAACTTACTTTGCTCCTGTCACATTTTCAGTCTGCAGGCTTTACTAAGCAGAGTAGCTTTAATCTATATAAAAATTTGATCTTTTAATGCTAATATTTTATTGGATACCTTACTTGTGAAATACACTTGATACACTTGATGACGGATTGAGGGTCGAAACATGTACTGTTATGATATTACATCACAAAAAACATATAGAACGTTGTGTTTGTGTGAGGGCCGCTAAAACAAGTAAGCAAACTGCTGTATAGCTGATATGATAATAACATGTTCTTATTGAATTAGCTCTGAATTGTCAGCAGTACTTCCATGACGGCTGATAATCCAGTCCGTGTTCATATGACATCACTCAGAATAATCCAGTTAATAACTCACGTAACAACATGTCAATTACACTCGTTGCAGTTAGCAGTATCACGCCTATTATCTGTGGCCTTCCGATCGCTTGTTCTCCACGCCACTCTGATGCCACATTGTACAGAGCCCTGAAGTACTGGTCGCATTTCGACGGGAACGTGCAGTAACACGGGCTTCATCATCATCATCATCATCATCATCCTCAGTAATCTGTCAAGACGACAGGTCCACAGTCTCTTCCAAAACAATTCCTCCACTTAATGCGATCTAGAGCTTTCTCCTTCAAATGACAGTATCCTCTTCTGTCCCCAAGGTCATCCAGCATCTTCTTACGTCTTCTTCCTCGTCTTCTTGTCACTTCTATCCGCCCCTCTATCTTTCCTTCGATAACTTCTTTTAGAAGGCAGTTTCTGCGTAAAACATGACCAATCCAATTAGCCTTCCGTTTTCTTATTTCGTGTAGGATATTCCTCTGCTCACTGACTCTAATTAACACTTCTTCATTTCTCACATAATCGGTCCAACTGATCTTCTCCATCCTTCTCCAACACCATATTTCGAAACTTTCCAGATGTTTCTGATCTACTGCCCTAAGTGTCCATGTTTCAGCCCCATACAGAGCTATGCTCCAAATGTAGCATTTCACTAGTTTCTTCCTCAAATTTAAGTCCAATTTGCTGGTAAAAAGATTCTTCTTCTTGCTAAATGCAGCTTTTGCCATGGCAATCCTGGATTTAATTTCACAAGTACACCTTCCATCATCTGTTAACAAGCTACCCAAATATTTAAAACATTTCACATTCTCCAGTTGTTTTTGGTCTATCTTTATTGTGACTGGGGTTGGTTGTCTCGAAATTTTCATTACTTTTGTTTTCTCCACATTCATTTCCATGCCATAGCACCTTCCAATTTCAATTAGTCTATCAATCATGCCCTGTAGCACAGTTTCTTCCTTAGCCATTAACACAAGGTCATCTGCATATTTCACAGTTTGAATAATTTGCCCTCCTACTTTGAAGTCTCAAATTCATGACATGTTTCGGTTACAAAATTATCATCGATAAAACGATAAAAAATAATTCAGCAAAATATTATGATATGACGCCTGAAAGCCGGAGTAGTGGAGTCAGAAAGGGCCACCATTACTATGTAACGGTTGGGT